AGATGGAGTTTTGCTCTTGTTGCCCAGGCTAGAGTGCAATGGTGTGATCTCAGCTCACTGCAACCTCCACCTCCCAGGTTTAAGTGATTCTCCTGCCTCAGCCTCCAGAGTAGCTGGGATTACAGGCATCTGCCACCACATCCAGCTAATTTTGTATTTTTAGTAGAGATGGGGTTTCACCATATTGGCCAGGCTGGTCATGAACTCCTGACCTTGTGATCTGCCTGCCTCAGCCTCCCAAAATGCTGGAATTACAAGCGTGAGCCACTGCACCCAGCCCTTATGGCTCTTTTATAAGCCCTTATGCCTTATCAGAGAATCTGGGGAAATTCGACAGAAAGACAGAATAAAGCTATCGAAAACTGGAAAATTAGGTAAAGACAAAAATATTTTTACCTTGTTGATAAAGAAAGTAGAACAATATACCTCTTTCTGAATCAATTCACATTCTACAGAGTGTTTTCAAATATTTTGTAAGATGGTTACATTATTATTAGCAAGCAATAATAATTATCACTATACCTATATAGTTACAGAAGCCATTTTTTGAACAGAAAACTATGTGTTGATATGTATTTTATATAAAAAAGAAGAACTTATTTTAGCTAACTGCATTAAAATGAACAACTGAAAGACTAAAACCTGCACATTGCCTTCTCTTAGGCAATTCTGAAAAGTTAGACTCTAAAATAAGCTGCCTTAATAAAACTGGAAAGGTCTGGAAAAAAAAAGAAGCATGGGCTAGTTCTTGGCAAATCAGAATTTGCTGAGTTATATCTTTGGGTAACAACTGACAGCCATGGATGGTGGGAAGATGGAAGTATGAGAGTAATACAGACACTAACACCCGATCAATTGAATCCTGTGGTTTTTAGCACTTGGTCTGTGAGCCTTTGCCTCTAAATCTCAACCTATTTCTATATCTCCTAAGGCAGTTAGCAGGCCTTATAACCCAAGAGTCATAAAGCAAAAAGTCATACAGGCACAATCCATATTGGCAGTAATGTTATGAATGGGTAGAAAATAACTCTGAGATTGGGAAGTATCAACACACCCAGGACTGTTGATGTCTCACGTGAATGTGAAGGTTACTGGGTTGTGTTTTTATATGGTTTTTCATTGAGGACATTCAAAGGTAGAGCCTCACCACCCTGCATTGGGAGTGGCTCGCAGGTAGAAGCAAAGAGGATTTTTCCTGTCCATCACCAGGGAGAGATGGATCTCCATGCAGGACACCTGGTCCAAAAAAGTGAACATCAGTTGCTCAGAGAGGTCAGGCTTGGCAGATTTAGGAATCTATGTCTGTGTTCCCACTGCTAGGAAATCACCCACCTTTAATAACTATGGCTACTTGGGTCCTGGAATAAAAATAAACGAGATCCTCCTGGGTTACAGATTCCCAGCAGATTTTTTTTTTATTTAATTATATCTATGTGCATTCTAACAGCAGGCCATGAATCTCTTGGAAATACATCTAAAGGGTTTCTCTTATCTCTGTCACGGTCCCAGTCTCCTCCTCTCTCCTTCCTAAAAGCACAAATGGGCATACATACATGTGCAAAAAATAATCCATATCCCATAATAGGGAGGAATAAGCCTACATCCCATAATAAGCAGGAAGAGTGTTATCAGCTGAGATAACAATGCAACATTTACCACCACCTTGGCGTCAAAGATCTTTCTTATCTTTTTCTTTGTGAGCTTTCAGAATCTTATTACACAAAACACATGTCCTTGAACATTGAAAATAATTTGAGATAAATCTGCACCTGAATATCTCTGTACTAACGGTGTCTGCTGGAGTCTGTCTCTGTCCTCATGTCCCACATTGGCAGATCAGATGGGTATCAAAATTACATTTCTCTATTTTGTTATATTAACACAGCAATATAATAGACATCACAACGAAGAGAGTGTACAGACTATGCTGTAAAAATATATATGTTAGACATTTCATTGCTATAGAGTTAGTACGCAGAACTTACAAATAGCATCTATAGAATAACAGCAAAAAGCAACCAATACAGATGAGTGAACGGTATGAATAAGTACTTTACAAAAGAGGAAAACCGCTGCCTAAAAGCATGAAGACCTTCCCAACTTTATGAATCTTAAAGAAATACATGTTAAGATATGTGATTAATATTGATGTGAATTTAAAAATTTATCTCTATGCAGTTGCTCACTCACTCCATTGCCATTATGGCCTACATCCCATAATAAGCAGGAAGAGTGTTATCAGCTGAGATAACAATGCAACATTTACCACCACCTTGGCGTCAAAGATCTTTCTTATCTTTTTCTTCCTGAGCTTTGAGAATTTTATTTCACAAAACACATGTCCTTTGGTAACATTTAAATTTTTGGTAACATTTTAAAATTATTAAATATGATTGAAGATGTAGAACAGTGGTACTTACTCTCAGACAGTTCTTAGGGAAATTTAAATTGGTACAAGCACTTCGAAGAGCTATTTGACACATGTATTGCTGAATATGCACATAATCTCCCACCCAGTGATCCCACACGTGCACACACCTCACACTTCTAAAGTTTCACATGTATGCACTAGACATATATAAAAATATTCATTGTACATTTTTGGAATTGTTTAGAAATTAGAAACAATATTTAAAAATTACATTTCTCTTACATGCCAACTAGGTAAAATGTCATGTCCTGATCAAAAGGTAAGCATAAGGAGTATGGAAACTCGTGGTTACAGTATGGGACCTGAGGAATATAAGGAGAGAAACCCATTCAGACCTTCCTACTTAAGCAGCAGATCAGCAAGGCTCCTTTGATTGCAATAGAAACTCACTTCAGCACTGCTCCAGAGTGCGGAGGGATGGCCACAGTCAATGGGACTAGAAGTTCGGGAGGGGGACACCCGGCAAGGTGTCCTTTTCCTTCCTGGAGTCACACATATAGGAGAGACACAGCATACCTCTCAGCTAGGAGAGAGGGTCAATATTACAAGTTACACTATCTAGGGTCAGGCACATTCTGTGTTGATTTTTCTTGTTTTCATTCATCAGCCCAAGGTTGGTTCTCAACCACATGTGATCCTCAGGATTAAATGCCAAACAAGATACTTCATAAGCATCCAGAATCCTGGGCTCCATGATGAGCCTAATACATCTCATTTCTGAAGAGTCTGAGATTAAATTCTGTTATGGGTTGAATTGCGACCCTGCCCCAAAAAAGACATGTTGGAATCCTAACACCCAGTACCTGGAAATGGGACCTTATTGACAGATAGGGTTTTTACAGAGGTGATCAAGTTAAAATGAGGCCATTAGGATGAGCTTGGGTCCAATATAACTGGTGGTTTTATAAAAAGGGGAAACTTGGATACAGAAATAGGGAGACGCAATATGGAGAAGATAGCCATCTACAAGGCAAGGGGAAAGGCCTTTGAGAGACCTGTCCCTCACAGGGAAACTAACTCTTGACACCTTGATTTTAGACTTTCAGACTCCAGAATTGTGAGACTGTAAACTTCTGTTGCTTAAGCCACCTAGTTTGTGGTACTTTTTTGGGGGGTCAGAGTCTAGCTTTGTTGCCCAGGCTGGAGTGCAATGGCGCAATCTCAGCTCACTGTGACCGCCTCCTCCTGGTGATTCTCTGCACAGGCCTGTGGTACTTTATTACAGCAGCTTAGGAAATGAACCCAAATATTAGTTAAACTTTATAGACAACCTGGTTCAAACAGAAGAGAAATTTATGATTGTATGCATCATCTACTGTAAAAATCAAGAACTCCTGGACGCCCACCCCCAGAACCCAAAGCAAGACCCTCAAAATTATATCCTGAGTTAGTTTTATTGATTTCAGGTAATTCTCTCAGAAAGTAAATAAATGTAAACGTCCTCTGTCAAATGTCAAAAACTGCTAGGTGAAACATTTTTTTTCTTGATTCAATTCTATTCAATGATGTGGTTCAGAAATGTTCACATGATTATACTAATTTTCATAATACAACTGAAATGGAAAAGATAAAAACTAAGCAATTTTGAATAAAGATGATATCAATTACACCAGAGACTTCATTTTTCACTTTACGGTTAAGGTGAAATGACACGCAGGGTACTGGGGGGCTGTTAATTGGGTCCCTCGTTTATCTTAGATAGGCAGATTCTGAGGAATCCTTGATTTCTCTCTGTTACTTTCATTTTCTAGCTCACTATACTTAGCAAATAATTTGATTTTTCAGGACCCTACTGGTCCTGTCTAGAGTTAGAGTTCCTTCCTCTAGGCTTTCTTTTGGTTTAAATTGAACACTGTGCAATGTGCCAAGGATGTTCTAGGACCTGAATATGTTAGTTTCCTTTTTCTTCTGTTTCACCATTTCCATAGACCAAATTCAGCACGCACTCAAAACTTTAAGTGCTTCTCTGTGACTCAAACCTCTCATCTGTAAATGAGGGTAACCATAGCACTTACTTCAGCTTCGTATGGTTGTGGAAAAGATGCAATGAGCAATCGCATTGCATGTGCACATAGCACCAGGCCGGAAACGTTGGAGCAGCCCGTAACTGTGAGCTAGTACCATTTCCAGCATTGCCACAGGATTAATAGCTCCCAAAGGGAGCAACAGCCTCCACCTAACAACACAACCATTCATCTGAGAATAAAAATGCCAAAAGGCAAAATCTAACGAATTACACAAATTAGTCATTGTGCTCTAGATGGTTTTTAGCGTTTACCTATTCGTTCACACAACCTTTATTTTCCTGTGTCAGAAACCGAACCCAGCACACGATGCCTACTCAAGACAAACAAGGGACTCAATATCCCACCTTAGCAGCCCCCCAATCCCCTTTATGAAATCCACCTCGTGCATAAAAGAAAGAAAATGTTCCAGGTGTAATGGATGCAGGGATCTCTAGGGAAGTAAACTGTATTTATGATCAGAATTTCTCCTCAATTTGGAACCAGTTTGGCTCCAGAGATAAAGATTAAATGGAATTCAATGCATCCTATGAGTTTGAGAGCCAGTACCCAAAGCAAGACCCTCAAAATTAAATCTTCTTTTGAAAACAGATGAATCTTTAAAAGTTTTATTAAATGGAGGAAGAAAAGACTCAGAATATTACATATAGCACAAGCCCTTTTTATAATAGGCATTCTTTTGGTAAAATAATAGTTATTCCTAAAGTAAAAGCACCTAACTAAAAATATTTACTTTTGAGGAATACATATAGGTGAGCTAACTATATTCAAAGGAAGTAAGAGAACCAGAGACCTGTGATTCAGGATGATGGCTACCTTGGGTGGGGAAGCAAGAAGATTGAAAGAGGAATGGCCATGTAGCTAGATGGAAATTATTGTCAAGGTCCCAGGCTTCAGGTTGGATGGTAAATTTATAGGTGCTTACTGCATTGTGAAAAATAGATACCTACATAAATGAATGAATGATCAAAGAGGTGCTATGTTCTGCATCAAGGATTCTGATTAACCTGATTCAGTGCCACTGAGGTCCACTGAGAGGAAAGGGCTGAGCCTGAAGGATTGAATGAGGACGCTGCTGTCAACCCCTGCATTGTGGAACTCCCATGAAAATTAAATATTGAGTTAGGTTTCAGATAATTTTGTCAGAGAGTAAATAAGTGTAAGCATCATCTGTCAAGTGTCAAAAAACTGCTGGGTGAAATATTTTTGTTCGTGATTCAATTCTGTTAAATGTTGTAGTTCAGAAATGTTCACAAGATTATGCTAATTTTCAGAATATGGTTGAGATGGAAAAGATAAAAAATAAGCAATCTTGAAGAAAGATGGAATCGAGAATAGAAGCTTCAACAACTTTAATTCTAGGTATAACTATAAATGCAAAGTTTCTTGGCTTTGAAGAAATTACTATAGAAAAACTAAAGAAAAGCCTACTCACTTTTCTTTCTAAATTGAAGCACTAACCAGAATTACTAGATCATTAAGTCAAATCTCCATTTAGTTTCACGTGTGCAAAGACGGCTTATATTTAGGCAGGCATCACTACATTAGGAAATCTTTTCCCAAGTAAAGCAAAGTGTGCTGCCCACACAATCATGAATGAGCGTCGTTGCCAACGGATAAAAATCCCTCCTGGGCCACGTAATTTAGGCAGCTCTGTGGCCATGGGGACATCAGAATAGAGCACAGTGGGTATCTTGTGAGATCCCCACGTGAGGGGATCAATGTTTCTGCAAAGGAAAACATTGAGCATTCTACTTGCCCAAGTCCATCGTGGGCACAAGAGAGTTTTATTCTTTTTAACGTCTAAAGGCAGCTCTTGTGTTTGAGATCTCCCATACATCACTCAGTAACTTCAACATAAACTCTGCTTCCTCATGGAAACGTCTCCTCAGGTTACAAAGTACATGAAAACAAGAGGGAGGGAGTGGTGGGAGGGAAATTCCACTCTGTAGTTGGTTCGCTTGTATAATTTCAACAACAGTGACATTGATTAGATTTACCCCTATGGGAAAGTTACAGGAGATGGAATTATTGCCCAGTGGTCTAGGCTGACTTCCACATCTCTATTTTGGGAATAAATACTCTTTAAGAAATCCTTGAGGTGAATGATTAACACACACCCTGTGCCGAACAACAAGCCAGAAGATTTGCAGACTTGGGCAGTGGAGCTGCGGCACTTCCTGTTCCTGGCTCAGGTTAAAGGGGGCAGCAGTCCCCTTTGAATCCTACAATGAATGTTCCCTGACCGGGCTCCTGAGCAGAGCAATTCTAGTTGTCTTGGGGTTTCTACTGTAACCAAAAGAGAAATAGTGCTTTACTATTTGCCCAGATTTGTCTGTGATTTTTAAAAGGGCAATTTTAATCCAAAGAAGTTTTTCCAGCATATTTCATCAAAATGGGGGCAAGTTGGATAGAAAAGTCTGGAAAGACCACATCTTTTAGAATGTTACTCTGTCCTTATGAAATACTTTCTTTAACAAAATGTTGTTCTAAAAAAGGACGTAAATCGAGACAGACTAAGCTGAGCCTAGAAAAAAAAGGTAATTAGACACAATGATGCCCACTTAAAAGCAATATTAAAAAAATTAAACAACGTAGAAGATCCCCTTGCAGACTTCATGCATAGCCATAATAATATGCATCCTTCCAGTGTCATGAAACGAGACCGTGCTTCACCCTACAGACTTTGGAGGCAGAGAGCTGGAGTTAGAAACTCAGCTCTGTAACGCTCGGTGTGTGATCTTGGGTAGGTATTTAGTTTCTTGAGGCATCTGTTTCTTCATCTGTAAAATGAAGACAACAAAAGTACCTCCCACCTGTCAATATTGAGAGTATTGAATAAGATGATGTCTGTAAAATATTTACTATGGTGCCTTGTATACAGGAGGAGATAAATACACGTTAAGTATTATTATTCAAAGATACTGGAAACAACCCTATTGAGAATGTTATTGACTGCCTAACAGAAATATGAAACGTGAAATGTAATTAACTTTATGAGGATATACATATATATATATATTTCTAAATCCAGAGATGTTGTGTGCACTTAGGAACCAGCCGATATGGACATGCCTGTAGGATCACAGAAGGGAGTCCTTTAAGGCTGAGTGAAGGACCAAGAGCAATCCTACGAAAAATTCATCTTTAGTGCCAGAGTATGACATGAGGACACAGGTCCGAGGTTAGATAGGGAGAAGAGATTGTGAGAACCACACCATGTCTGCCACTTGGATATTTGGCTTAGCACCTAAGGAGTCCTTGGTCAAAAGGGATGGTGTGGCAATATAAATAACAGAAGAAAAAAAGAGATTGGGGGAAATTCACTAAATTTGCCTGGATATTAAGAGCACAAAGTGGCAGCTCTGTTCTAGTAGCATTGGCAAGGGCGAGACACTTCGCTGGGAGCTCTGGAAGATGGTGCCAGCCTTCCAGGAAAATTAGTGTCCTGTACATTTGTAGCCTTCGGACCATCATTTTGGGCAGCAGTGGCTGCAGT